GGGGAATTCTGGGAGTTGAAGTCCACCCATCTTCAAGTTGCCAAGGTTGAGAAACACTGTCAACAGCAAATAAACCACTGGTGGTGCTGAATCAACAGAATCATGGCACAAATAAGTAACACAGTAATATATGTGCTTCTTTATTAATCTGTTAAATCAATTACAATACCCTTTTTTTAAGGTGTGATCATTTTAGACAGGGGGATGCGTTAGCAAACATTTTTGGAGTCCGGAGGCCATAAATGATTTGATTGCCTGCATCCATTGTTGAATGAAAAGCTACATTTCAATTAGGGGTTCGTGGAAATAAAGTTATGATCTTTTTCCCCATCCAAATTGGCGGACCCCCTGAGATCTATCCATAGACCCTTCAAGGATCCATGGACCCCAGGTTAAGATCCCCTGGGCTAGAGGGTTGGGCTAGAACTGAGAGCCAGGTCAAATCAGCCATGAAATCTTAGGCTGGTCTCCCTTGCAGGTTTGTTGTGAAGTAAAGAACAGTGAGGTGATGATGAACGGTGTGCTCCTTAACAGCAATAAATCAAGATAAATCCAATAAATGATTGTGATGACATGAAGCCCGTTGAGATGCCCTTGATTTCACTTTGGAACCTAGGGAAATTTGCTCCTTGTTTGTATCCTAGAACTACACTGACCCAAAAAATCATATCTACTGTAAATGCAACCTTTGAGCAGTTGCTTACATTGTAATGACTCCCTCTTTCTCTTCTCATTTTGTTTGTCAGGTTAAGACCAGGATAAGGGATTTCAAGAAATGACCTTGGCTAATCTATATTTCATTTGTCGTTGTTGCCAACTTTGCCAAAATTCCCGGCATCGGGCATTTTCTACCACAATCTATAGCTGGTGAGTCTTCTTGCAGTTAATTCAGGCACTTGAACTGCTAAGAATCTGGGGGCACCATTTCTGACCCAGAAATTATATTAAAAGGTGTAAGCAAAATATTGCTCCGTAAAGCAACCTGCTTTAATTTGTGGGGTCTCTAAACCATGATTGCTAGTTCATTACACTGTAGGAACAGTGTAGGTACTGTAGATAGTGTGGATAATAATAAACATTATGCTAAACCATAATGTGTTAAAATTGAGACCTAGAACTTAGAACACTGGTTCTAAGCCAGTGTTTCTCAACCTTGTCCGCTTTAAGATGTGTGGACTTCAACTCCCAAAATTCTGGCTGGCTGAGTATTCTGGAAGTTGAACTCCACCCTTCTTAAAGTTGAGAAACCCTGTTCTAAGCCCACTGCCATGGTTTGTAAGGCCCAGTGGCTCAATTTGAACTGGCTGCTAAGCCCCAAACCAGCAAGCCACATCATGGCTTAGGGCAACCTGTAAACCCAACTAACAGTGGCATTCACACATCAGGATAACCCAGGATTGTTTCAATATAGTTTGTTGAATAAAAAAGATGAACCGTGTTGGGACATAATGCAAAGCCAGATTGATCGAAGCCCCAAACAAGCAGGCCACGTTATGGCTTATGCATTGTGTAAGCCCAGTCTTGATTTGAGATAAGCTAAAATCCTACACTTCTAGACTTTTCAACATAGCAGTTGATTTTGGTTCAATAGAACCATCTTGGGAATAAGCGCAGATTCGCCCTCTCTGGTGTTTTTAATACTATCATTTTCAGCAGAGTAACCATATCGTCTTTCTAGGTCTCCAGCCAGGAATATTAACTACTATGATGTTCTGGGGATCAAGCACAATGCTACTACGAAGGAGATCAAACAAGCTTTTTTTAGGAAATCAAAGAAGGTATGTTTCCATATTATGGGGGAGGGCAGGGAAGGGGGAGGAACATCCATTGAAAGGCTGTGGTAAGTCAAGAAGGTTGGTTTGGGGTTGTGATCAGCTGTCCATTTGAGGCAGTCTCAAAACCAGGCTTTCGACCAGTGTTTCTCAACTCTAGCAACTTTAAGATGGGTGGACTTCAACTCCCAGGATTCCCTAGCCAGCCATGCTG